GGGGAAAAAAGAGACATGCGATTACTTGTTTTTGTCTCTCTCTCTCTCACACATACACACATAATTTCTATTTGTCTGTTTTCTTTCTGCTTTTTATTTATTTATTTATTTTTTGTTTTGTTTTTGATTGCCTCGGCAACCCATGTGCAAGAGATCGCATGGGAAGGGGGGGACTTGCGAGGCTGTTGGCCACGGAGGTGCTAGGTGGAGACATTAATGCCTGCTGTGGCTTGCTGCGTCGAATATTCAGCGAGACTGTAGAGGAAGATGTCATTCGTGAACTAGAGCGTAGTGGGCAGGGCCTTGTTAGTGATGTTCTAACCTTGGGGAAAGTCTGTTTAGTTGATAACGCGTCTCTTGTGCGTCCTGGCTCTGTGGCAGTTCTTTGTCATGCTTCGCAGCGTCTAGGTGACTGGCGAAGCGCTTTGCAGTTTGCTGAATTGCTGCCGGGTCCACCATCATCATCGTTCCTTTCTTCCCTCTTGTCCCCGGAAAACTGTGCCACGATTCTCCGTTGTTGCGAGGAAAAGAGCTGGACGTTAGATGTGTCCCATGCGACTCAGATACTTGCTGAGAGACATGGAAGCTGGATCTCTGCCCTGATGGTGGCAGAGGCGATAGAGCGGCAATCTCACATGGGGGAGTGGTATTCGCTCGGTGTTTTGATCCCACACCTTTCTGAAAGTGGAGCGTGGGAAAAGGCTGTGGAGTTGTTTGTTACTGGAATAGCACAGGGGTCGTTGGTGGACCCAGCATTTGTGGGAAGTCTTGTGTATCGAACAGCACAGCTTAAACAGTGGCGGATGTGCCTCTTTATGTTGTCGGCGATTGAAAAAACAAAAGAAGCTTCGCAAATTTTTCCATCTGACGTGAATTTTTTTAAGGTTATCATGTCCATTTCGCCGGAATGGACGTCGTCGCTTTCAGTTTTTAATGCGGCAGTTGCGGCAGGTGTAAAGCCAGACAAGTCTATGGTGGGGACTTTGTTGGCTCAATGTGAGCAGGCAAATGCATGGTCAGTGGCAACGCAGGTGTATGACATTGCTCAGACAGAGGGATTTGTCTCTAGCATTGTCGGAGAGTCGTATCATGCGCTTGTGCGTTCCTTTCACGCAGTTAAGCAATGGGAAAAGGCGTTGGCAGCACTGTCTTGGATGGCGAAAGCCGATGAGGCGTCTGCTTCAACAGGAAGGGGGGAGTTGCTGGAATTGTGTGAGCAGTCAGGTCAGTGGGAAGCAGCGATACGTATTGGAGGGATGCTTCTTGAGACGCATTCATACCTTCCCGTTCGCACGCATCTTTCTCTCTTGCTTGCCTCTGCCAAGGGGGCGATGTGGGACGTCGCGGTGCGAATACTGCAGGCTTCCCTTGCTGATGCAAATTATTCCCCACATCCACTCTCCATTTGTGCCGTTTTACAGGCTTGCGTCGCTTCCAACCGCTGGAAGGAGGCAGTGATGCTTCTGGAGCGAGTACGTGAAGAGGAGCCGCGCGTCGTTCTACCCCTGCTGGCACATCGGTTAACAATAAAGGCCTGCGTGGGTTCCGGGCGTTGGTCGGAGGCCATTGCACTCCTGGCAGATATGCATGCATCTGGTCTGTCCAGGGACAACCACAGTCAACGTCTAGGTGTGTGGGCCGCAGCACTTTCGGGGAATTGGAAACTCTCTCTAGAGCACTTGCGACATCTTCCACGGATTTGCCGCACACCGCATGACCGACTTGTCGTTCGCAGTGCAACCCGGGATGCTAGTGCAGCGGCGAAGGCCATCGTACTTAAGTATCTTCAACAGCAAATAGCGTAGCGTGAATTTGCAGCAGCGTATAAATAATATGGCTGACCATCACTAGGAGGGTGAAATAAGAGTGTCGGGAGGAAACTATTTCTCACCCACCCCTTTTTCTTTTATTCTACGCCTCTTAGTGTGTAAACCTCATGTGTTGCCTTTTTTTGGTTTTGCTTTGTTTTGTTTGTGTTTTTGTTTCTTGGCATTTCTCTGGAATTGCCGTGTCCCCTGCACACATTTGCGCAAAACATGTCCTTTGCGCCCAGTCATGGATGCCGTACTTGATTTTATCTTGTTTGTTGCGCGTGCCATCGTTGGGCGATGATAATGGGTAAACGTTTGTTTTGACGTCTGCATAAGGCTCCTCCTCCTCCTTTATATAATATATATATATATATATATATTTCTGCTTGTAACTGAAAA